CTCCCGGGCCCTGGCGTCGCGGGCTGGGCCGCGGCCTCCCGCAGGGCTCCCTGGCTTCCACTGCCGAGGTCCGCGCCTTCCATCCGGGAACGACGCGACCGAGAGCGGGGCGGGCGGGGCGGCCCTGAAGCCCCAGAACGGGCAGGAGAACGCGGAGAGACGTGCCTTCCAACTCTGAAATTCGGTGGCCCGCAGTCTCACCACGAAACAAAGCCCGGGTAGTCACAGAATTTTCCGCCTCGTTTGAGTTTAGTGCTGATCTCTTGGTTCTGCAGCACCGTTTTCGCACGTTCTCGATTTCAATTTGTGGCGCTATTCCTCAGGTGAACTGTGAGTAATGTGCTAAAACTTTGGATTTGCTCTGCGATGCAGACCATCTCGAGCAGATCGCATCCCTCTTGTGTTCTCTGTGGCATTTACCTGTTAAACCGGAATCTTTCTCAAAGCCTGTTGTGCAACCATCTCTTTAAAAATGCTTGCTGCTGTCACCTTCACCCTGTTTCTGGAATCCCGGTGGGGAGGAGGGTTCAAGCTTGAACCGCGACCCTAGTGGTCGGCGGGCCGGGGAGCTCTGGGTGTTGGGGAGGAAGGTGTCCTACCTGTAGTATTTAGCATCGCCGCAGTCCGTGTGGGTTTTGTTTCCGTCCCACGCGCGCTGGGCCTTCTTTCTGCCAGGAAACCAGGAGAAAATAAACTTTTTAACTCTTGATCCTAAAAGAAATCTCAGAAGTTTGGCATACTCATGAGAGGGAAGCACTGTAGCAGGTAATTTCCCCAGTACAACTGGTAGACTTAGGAAGTAAGAGGCTCAGTAGGAACAGAGGTGCAGGAATAGGAAGAAATTTTCTGAATCTGTTCAAAGTGTAATCTTAAACTGGTAGGAGAGTCATTTCACAGTATTAAACAAGTCATCAATGACATTTTTTGGATGCTCTGGTAGATCCTTTTTCATAGCACTCGCGTTGGGACAAATTTTGTACCTGGGTAAGGAGTCTTATTTTGTCTTAGTTTCCTTTTCTGTTCTTTTTTATTTTTCCCCCCAGACGGATATTTAGCTGTATAGTGTTTAGTTTCAATGACTTTATGAAATTATGAAGAAGGCTCTCTATAAAGTTCCTGGTGAAAACAGTATTCCTTAGTAAAGTGGTTAAAATAACTTTTTAAAAACCACTGTTTTACCTAATCTGAATTTAAGGTATCTTGTTAGTTTAGTGACTTGTCAGTTCGCTGTGTCACCTTCACTCCTCCCAAAGAAAAAAATTATTCCGGTTTTAAAGTTTTCTCATGTACTAACTCCAGTCTATTAAAAATCTATGAATATACTTTTCTATACAAGAGCCTAAAAACATCTATATTTTGTTAATGGCCCACTTTTTTTTTTAATTGTCTTTTCAACAGCTTTTAGAGTCAATATTCTGTTAATCTGTAGTAGTTAAACTAATATGTCAAACATTTGTTCCTTATATCATAGCTGCATAAATATGTGATATAAGTACAACAATAAAAAGATTTTTAATCACTTAGTTTATATGGCTTTTAATCCCACATATATAATGTATGTTTTTAAAAATCAGTATGAGTCATTTAATGTGTTTGGGAATTCAATTGTTTTCAAAAACTGGAGTTAATCTACTTAGCAGTATCTAATCTTAAACTGCTGTTTACCTGTCCAGTCAACACTGGGCACTTATTTCAAATTTGAAAATTAGAAGTGGAGTGTTTGGTATTAAAATTTTAGAATTTGCAGGACATCTTGAGTAATTTGGTATCTGAAATTCCACCTTTTAAAAAATTTGGGTGAAGAATGGCATTCAAACATTAAAGCCTAAAATTTATTCGTGGAGTTTAGAATACAGTATGTATTAGGATTTAGAGATCCTGATTACTTTTTTTAAACTATAGATTGTGTTAATCTCTTTGAGTAACATTCTTAGAATTCTCTTTAGGGTGTTTTGTGTGTTTTTAATCCCCTCTGAGGATAGTATTTTCCTTTTTTTATTCCAAAATACAGCCACACATGTTGAAAAGATACATCGATAAAAATGAAATTTTTTAAAAAATATATCTTTATTGATTTCAGAGAGAGGAAAGGAGAGATAGAAACATCAATGATGAGAGAGTCATTGATTGAGCCCACAACCTGGGCATGTGCCCTGACCAGGAATCGAACCCTGATCGCCTGGATCCCAGGTCAAGGCTCAACCACTGAGCCATGCCTGGCGGGGCAAAAATGAAATATTTTTAAACAAAGAACCTTGTAAATTCCACCCAGGGCAAAACAGAGGTTGCCAGCATCCCAGAAGACTCCCACCCCCTGCATCGTCCCATTATAACTACTACCCTCTTAAGCTAGATATAAACATTATTCTGACATTTATAGTTTTATCGCTAAAGTTTACATCCCTAAACAATAGAGTTTAGTTTTGTCCATTTTTGAACTTTACATACATGGAATTATCTTGTATATAAAGGGGTGGGCAAACGTAGGTTTACAGTTGTTCATATAGAAAAATATATAATACAAGAATAAAGAATATGCCCAGCCAGTGTGGCTCAGCAGTTGAACGTCGACCTATGGTCTGGGAGGTTGGAGTTTGTTTCCCAGTTAGGTCACACGCCTGGGTTTCCGCCTCAGTCCCCAGCAGGGAGCATGCAGGAGGCAGTTGATCGATGACTCTCATCATTGATGTATCTCTCCCTCTTCCTTCCACTCTCTCTGAAATCAAATATATATATATGTATATATATGTAAATGTATATATATACATACATATACACACACACACAAACACACACACACACATATATATGTAAAAGATGTTTAAAGAAAGAATACATACAAGAATAAACTCTTGTGTTTCAAGCACTCATAACTGTAAAACTACTTTTGCTCACCCTGTTTTTAATTTTGGGTTTTGTTGTGGCTTAGTAGTACATCATAAATATAACACAGGTTTACCTATTCTGCAGTTTTTTGGTGTTGTTTTTTTTTTTAATTTTTCTTTATTGTTGAAAGTATTACAGATGCCCCTTTTTCCCCCCATTGATCACATCCACCCCCCCACCAGACCTTCAAGACACTATTGTCTGTTTCCATCCATAGTTTATGCATAGAAGTTCTTTGATTAATCTCGTCCCACCCACTTGCCCACCCCTGCCTTTCCTCTGAGATTTGTCAGTCTGTTCCATGCTTCTATGACTCTATATTTTGTGCATCAGTTTACTTTGTTCATTAGATTCCATATATGAGTGAGATCATGTAAAACTGAATCAGGAAGAATACAGAAAACCTGAATAGGCCAACAACAACTGATGGAGTCAAAGCAGTAATCAAAAAACTCCCAGCACACAAAAGTCCTGGTCCAGAGAGCTTCACAGGGGAGCCTTACCAAGCAGTCTGCTTCTTATTACATCAGTCCCTTTAACATTTCTTGCAATGCTGGTTTGTTGGTGTTTATAAACTCCTTTAGCCTTTAGATTTTCTGGGAAACTCTTTATTTCACCATCTACTTTGAATTAAAGATTTGCTGGATAGATTAGTCTTGGTTTCAGGTCCTTGCTTTTCATTAGGTTGAATACTTCATGCCATTCCCTTCTGACCTGTAGAGTTACTGAGGAGAAATCAGCTGATGGCTCTATGGGAGCTCCTTTGTAGGTAACAAATTGCTTTTCTCTTGCTGCCTTTAAGATTCTTTGTCTTGAATTTTTGGCCTTTTCATTATGATGTGTCTGGGCATGGGCCTCTTTGGGTTCTTCTTGCTTGGGACTCTGTGCCTCCTGAACTTGTGACTTTTTCCTTCACCAGGTTAGGGAAGTTTTCTGCTATTATTTCTTCAAACAGATTCTTTAACTTGCTTACTTTCATCATCTTATGGCACTCCTATGATTTAAATATTGTCACGTTCATATTGTCCCACTCTCTTAAACTGTCCTGGGTTTTTTGTTGGTTTTTTTTGTTTTTGTTGTGCTTCTTTAAAATATATCTTGCCCAGCCGGGCGTGGCTCAGCGGTTGAGCATCGACCTAGGATCCAGGCGATCGGGGTTCGATTCCCGGTCAGGGCACATGCCCGGGTTGCGGGCTGCAGCTGATCAGTGACTCTCTCATCATTGATGTTTCTGTCTCTCTCTCCCCCTCTCCCTTCCTCTCTCTGAAATCAATAAAGATATATAAATATATATATATATGTCTTTATTGATTTCAGAGAGGAAGGGAGAAGGGGAGAGAGAGAGAGAGAGAGAGAGAAACATCAATGATGAGAGAGTCGTCATTGATCGGCTACCTCCTGCACACCCTCAACTGGGGATCGAGCCCACAACCCGGGCATGTGCCCCGACTGGGAATCAAACCGTGATCTCCTGGATCCTATGTCCTCCTGTTTTTTAATTGTTTCTTTTTGGACCTCTGATTGAGTGCTTTTTTCTACCCTGTCTTCTAATTTGCTAATCTAATCCCCAGCTTCCACTGATCTGCTGTTTAGCCTTTCCAATGTACTCTTTATTTCTATTATGTCATTGTTAATTTCCTTCATAGTTTCCATATCTTTCTCATGCTGTTGAGCATCCTTACAATCATTATTCTGAACTCTGTATCTGATAGATTGCTTATCTCCATTTCATTTAGCTCTTCTGGAGAATTCTCCTGTTCTTTCATTTGGGGCTTGTGTTTGTTTGTTTTTTGTCTCCCCATTTTGGCTGCCTGTTTGGGTTTGTTTCTATGTATTAGGTAGATCCGGAAGGACTCCCAGTCTTTTCGGAGGGTCTCTGGTGCCGACCAGTGGCAGATGCTGTTTGTGACTGGCCTTGGGTACCCTGTTTGGAGCTATCAATGTTCCACAGCTTGTGGCTCCTTCTGCCGGGGCTGGGTGCCTTTGGACAGGGCCAAGGTGAACACCAAAGTGTGTTTTTCCGAGCCCAGATACAGATCTGGCAAAGACTCAGAGCAT